ATTAATAGGTGTTTCAGCATACAGTTTTAGTTCAATGAGTAAATACAGATTTTGGCTGGTGCTGGATTTATAGAGGGAGTTACTAGGTTTATCACTGTGGAATGATGTATGCTAGGACAACTGGATACCTTCAGACTGTTTTCAAGCAAACTATTAAAAACTAAGTGTTCACTTTGTAGGCACTTGAACAATGATAATTATGTAGTCTATTTCTTAGTTTTCTTGTGAAATAGGTAGAAAAAGTCACATGATTGCTTATGGTGACTGGATACTTTTCTACTAAATGGTTGAACCATTCCCTGGTATCTCCTGGTCTTGAAATAGAAGTGATCGCAGCTGCAGTAGCACCTCCTTACCACCAGAGGGTGGAATATCAAAAATTGTTGTGAAGAAGAAAATACAAGGAAGGGTTCTCCAGTTATAATTCCAAGCCAAGGTCTACAATCACACACCTTAAACATTTCCCTTAAATGTCTATGCCTTGGCTCATTCATTTTTAAAATGAAAATTGTAAGAGTATCAACGACATAAAATGGTTTTACAGATGAAATGAGATTATATATATGATACCCAATTGCTTGCCACATATGGAGTGGTAGATGAATAAAAGTAGCAATTATTTCTGATCAGGTTAAGGATCTTTGTGCAAACCAAAATGTTGTTCTGATGGCGACATCAATCTTGTATTGATATAAAACTATCAGGTAAAATAAACACAGTAATTTTTTTGTGTGTTTGAGATTATTTTGTTTGTGTCCATAAATGTTGCACATTCCATTCTTCTAAGGATTGGATTGTATTCATCATTCCCATTACAGGCCTAGTCAACCTTTTTCTATCTCTCAAGGGCTTGGCACTTGATGATTATAAGGTTGAACAATTATATTACTTTTATATTTGATTATGTGGCTATGTTGGACTTCTAAACACTTGTTCAGCTATATTAAAGTAAAACATAAATAAATAAAAAATTAGAGCAACATAATTCAGCTTAGTTCTCCCACAATTTATTTCCTCTATCCTTGCCTTAGTTTTATCTCACCAACGAAATGACTTGTTAATTTAAATCAATCCTCTTCTTCAACCAGGAAGTCACTCATATAGACAGATTGCATGGCAATGGAAGAATACTAGATCAAGAGTGAAGAGATCTGATTCTAGCCCTGGTTCTATTAATTCACTGCATGAATTTGAACAAGTCACTCTGCCTCTCTGGATATCTTCTAAGATAATGAGTTTAGATGAGAGGATCTCAAAGGTCCTTTCTAGCTGTCACATTCTATGATTTTCTATCAGAATCTTAATATTTTAGAGTTGAAAAGGACATGAAATGGCATCTTGTCAAATTTACCTGCTGAATGAAATCTGCACTTTCATTTAAGCCATCTAATTTTTATTAAGATTACTTATAAAAATTTTAACAGGACAGAACAAAGACTGAAGTCAGTAGACTATTAGTTCCCATGCATAGTGGTAGAAATCTATCACTTAAAATGAATAGTCCTACTGTATTTGAGAGTAACTCTGAAAAATAAAGAAAAAGTATATTTTTCATTGGCCCACCTCAAAAGAGTGTGCCAAGGGGAATGAACAACTTCCTTTAAATATAACATTTTGTAAAATTAGTCAAGTATCATATAACCTCTCTCAGACACTGTAATGTATACAGAAAAAAATATTTTAGTCTCTGGAATACTCAGAATTATGACACTATAACCATAATAATGACCCTATGTGGAATATGGAAATGGTCTCTTGCCAGTTTTATCTATTTCTAATGATAAATAGATTGTCTTAGAACACTGTAATAAAAAGGATTCACATGTGACATCATTTTTTTTTCTATGAAACTATCTCTAAATAATTTTGCTTCTTGAGATAATTCTTGGTCATTTACAATTCAATGACATCAGACTTTGATGTAAAAAGAAAGAAAGGAAGAAAATAAGAAAGAAAGAAAGAGAAAAAAAAGAAAGAGTACTACACACTGTCTATGTAGCCCTTAACAAAGAGTAATTGGAAAGAAAGAATGGACCACGGTACCTCAGCCATTTGAGCATTAACTCCAATATTTTCCAACCCTTTGTTCCATTATGTCTTGGATGTGAAAATGTCATGGTTTATTATAGTAATTATACACTTGTTTTTGTTCCTTTCCCCAGATGCCCTTACTTTGGCCTGTCCCTGAGGTTAGCTTTTGGTGAAGTTATTTTTCTGCCATTATGTGATCCAGAAATGGGAATTTGCTTTTGAGTTTTCCCACTTATCCCATGGCTACTGCAGTTGTGATAATATGTCATTAAGATAGAGCTAAGTCATTTTTGATAATAATGGTGACCAGAAGATTAATGACATTATTGACAACTAGCTTATCCAAATTGAGTTCAACTAGCAAAAATGAATGAATGTTTGTTTCTATTGACATAATACATCCTGGAGACTATCACCCTAGCTCCATTTTATTCTTTCATCTATTAAATTAATATTTATTGAGTATTTACTATTTCCCAGATCCCATTAGGTAAGATTCCATTGTGTTCATCGAGGATATAACAAGGGAAAAAAAAACAAACAAATAGAATTGATTAAACAAAATAATACTTTAAATAAAATATAAAGGAGTGAATTTGTAATTGACAAAAATATAAGCATATTTAAAGCTAATGTGTAAGAAATAATCAACTCTATTGATTGTGGAGTCTTCCAAAAAGGAGTGAGAGAAGAGATAATATTTCTGTGGGTTTTGAAGGGTTAGAAAGACATGACACTCCTTCTAAAAGTGCCATTTGCAATGACGTGGATGGAACTGGAGGGTATTATGCTGAGTGAAATAAGTCAATCAGAGAAAGACATGTATCATATGACCTCACTGATATGAGGAATTCTTAATCTCAGGAAACGAACTGAGGGGTGCTGGAGTGGTGGGGGGTGGGAGGGATGGGGTGGCTGGGTGATAGACATTAGGGAGGGTATGTGCTATGGTGAGCATTGTGAATTGTGTAAGACTGTTGAATCACAGACCTGTACCTCTGAAACAAATAATACATTATATGTTAAAAAAAAGAAGAAGAAGAAGAAGAAGATAGCAGGAGGGGAAGAATGAAGGGGGGGAAATCGGAGGGAGAGACGAACCATGGGAGAGTATGGACTCTGAAAAACAAACTGAGGGTTCTAGAGGGGAGGGGGTGGGGGGATGGGTTAGCCTGGTGATGGGTATTAAAGAGGGCACGTACTGCATGGAGCACTGGGTGTTATACACAAACAATGAATCATGGAACACTACATCAAAAACTAATGATGTAATGTATGGTGATTAACATAACATAATTAAAAAAAAAGACTGTATAAGACCTCAGTTCTACACAATGTGTTCAAGGAAACGGGAGTAGATAGCATTGGTGGAGTGAATGCATGTGGGGAGTTGTGAGGAGAGGCACTAGGACAGAGCAAAGGCGGACTTCAAATGATCTTTAACATAACACGGTGCCTTTATTGGGAAAAGGAGTTGTTCCAGCTTTTAAATGAGTGTCTCATTTAGGAAAACATTAGGTACAAGTAACTGAAATTGTTTTTCAAAATGGTTTTAGTAATAAGAAAAGTTTACTGGCTCATATTTACCAAAGTCCAGAAATGAGACAGTCTGGGCTCTGCTCCTTGCATTTCTCTTGGCTTTGCTGTCTTTCACGTGATGGTTTAGTTTTTAGGCCACATGCAAGATGGATATAGCATTCCACACATGATATGACAAAGTCCAGAGGAAGAGATGGTTGCTGCAAAAAACTCCACAAGGACTTTATCAGAAGCACCGGTTCATATCATTCCTTGTTCCTCATTGGCTTAAGTCAGATCACATGCTCCATCCTGAACCAATCACTTTCAGGGAAGATTGGGGTGGCCCTAGAACTAGCCAGAATCCATCCTGAAACCAGGAGCATGGCCACCTTATTGTATAGGATTGACTATGTGTAGATAGGAGGGGTACACAAACAAAACCCAGTTCTTTTGGGGAGAGGAGAGAGAAGCACCTTGTGAGGGCAATGAACAATCAGTACCCATATCCAGTTACATATTTTTCTTCCTGCTTAGGTATTTTTAAATGTAGTTGACTGTGTTCCCCAAAACAAGAGAGTTTAGTAGACTATCTAGTTATCACATCCAGATATAACCCTAAGATATCAAAAGATAAAGTCCTCCTTCTCAGGTAATATTATCTATTCATGATAGCACCATGTTTCCAGGAGTTCCCAGGTGACTTCTTTGAAAACAGTGACCAGACTGAGGAAGGAGAGTTAAGCATCAAGATGATAAATAAGTTAGAAATTGAATTAATTTTATTATACTCAAATGCATAAATATTTCATTTCATCCATATTTAGGATGTTTGTTTCATCATATCAGTTACTGCTGTTAGTTAATATCAGGATCTCAAAATTCCATTACCACTTGCATAAGTCTACAAAAGGGGCTCATGAAAAGTATTTTGACATTTCCTCATCTAAAACAGCCAGGATAGTATGCTTAAAGCATCACTGCTGTCTCTGGAACTTTTCTTCTTGGATTAGACTCAGTAGTTTAACCAAAGTAAGGTGCATACTAAGGCTGAAATGATTATACACAGAAGCGTTTAGAATGACCTCCTGCCCCAAGCAATGATTCCACTTGCCAAAAATTCCAGGGAACTAACTCTGTGTTGTCAGAGAATTCTGCCTACCAGGGAGTCTAATTCTTAAATATTTCTTTTTAGACAAAGAACAGTAGGTTTGAAATTCCCAATGGATAGCTTTTTCTTTAAATTAACATTGACCTGTTATCTGATATCAAATTATATGAGTTTATTTGAAGGAAAAAAAAAAGACCTCTTGGTTCATTTTTAACTAAAGAATTAAGAGGGAAAATAGAAGAAAATAGAAGGAAAACAGGATGAGTATGATGAGATAAACAATTTCATATTAATAGGATTTTTATTTAATTATACTTTTCTAGGTAGTAGAATATAGACTCTAGCCAGATCTGCAGGTTGGTTGGCAACGAGAAGTTTGGCAGCTCCTAGAAGCCAAGTAAGTTAGGCGGCAGAATCTGGATCCATAGCCCAGGAAAGGGAAGCCACAGATTCCATTACCCAGGGGTCTGAAGCCAAGTGATCCACAGTCCAGGCAGTAATTTCTGCTGGATCCACAGCCTAGAGACCCAGGGTAAATTGACCGGCAAGGATCGCAGAGCATGGAGGTCCTCTGGTGATAGCAGGACGTCTGGAGGGGGCTGGACACCACACGGGATGTCTGGCAACTGGTGGGCTCACAGCAGGTCTCCTGACAGCCACTGGGGAGGAAGGAGCCCAGCTGGCAGGTGCTGGGAGAGCGTAGGTCAGTGTGGTAGACCAGGTTGCTGGGGTAAGAGCCACAGGAAGAGCCTGGGTAGCGCAGGTATGCCCCAAAGGAGTGGGAGGAGTAGTTTCCAGAGCAGCAGCTGCAGGACCTGTTGGCAGGAGATGTGAGTTCAGCTGAGTGACAGTGAGGAGATGTTCTGATATCCCCTCTTTCTCCCAGGCATGTTTATATATATACCCTCACTGCACTAGATGTGATTCAGACCCTCCCCATTCTTGTGCATGTCTTGTCATGAAAACAACCAATTCACCTAGGCCATAATTATAACTGAACACATTAATGTGTTCTTAACTGCTGTTTAATTATTCAGGTTTATAGAAGGCACTCCTCTTCTTACCTTTTTTTTTTTTTTTTTTCTGGAAGTAAGATGTGGTTTGCCTTCAAAAGACATTTGTCATGACACACATAGTACTCTCCCTTCTTCACAAGCTTGACTGGGGATTTTTGAGCATGAACGTCTAAATTGTTACCAGCAATGTACTCCTAACAATCATCAGCACCTCCCTCCCAAATATTTGTATATGTTTTATTGAGCATTTACCATGTGTGCAACATTGAAAATTGTGGCATCATTTAATCCTTGCAACAACGGTACGAGATAGGAATTATCACTAATGTAGTCACCCATGTGTGCCTGTCTTAAAAGCCAGCAGGAACCACATAGCTATGCCAACAACTCGAGAAGCTTGTCTTTTCCACTCCCAGAGTCACATGAACAATGAATGCCCAGGTGGAAAAATAACATTTCAATGTGATAACATTTGCATTTTATCTGAGGTGCCTACTTATGAAGTCCTACCTCTTTTATGAAATTCGCAAATGCAACCACTGAAGGAACAACTTCTTAATTCTTTTAGTTAATAATTTTTTAGTATGCAAAGTTACCATGAAGATGATTGTTTCAAACTACCTTCTATTTGTCCTCTCATTTAGCTTGTCATCAATAAGCAACTCATGTTTTATCCAGTATGGAGTTATTGGATTCTTTTTCCAGGTGAGGCAGAGAATTCTTTGGCAAACACTTAGACTATCACTGAGAATAATTGTTAAGAACTGATACACCTTTTGAGTGAGTTGACTACCAATGAAATACATTTGCAAAAACTTGAATTTTAATAGTGTGCTAACCTTTGCCAACTCAGTTGGGAGTGAGAAATGAGACACCTCAGAGAGTGATTCATTTCACTCCCTGCTGAGCTTCTTTTTTGCTCATCGTTCTAGAAAGACAAAGAAGCAGAAAATTTACCTTCATACTAAGTAGTTAAAATCATCCTTATCACTATAAAAAAAATCAATGGTATAAAGAAAAGTCCTGGAATTAGAGATGTCTTTCTTTTTCACTTATTATAATATCCAACTTCTGCCTTAAAGCATCTTTTAGAAATTGGAAACAAAAAGCTATTTATGTAACTTGATCTTTCCTACTTGTTTCCCAGGTGATTGTTTTTTTCTAATCTCCTATAGTATTTGCTTATCTAGCACCAGTGGAAGAGTCTGCCCATTGTTTTGCTTATGAATTTTTACCAAATGTTTGGCTCACTTCTCCAAGTCCTTTTCATCTCTTAAAGCCCAAATCCCAAATCAAATTCCCCATCTGACAGGTGTTCATCTCAGCCAAGCTTTGACTCTTCTGACATAAGAATCTTAGTATGTTATAAGCTATCTATTTGGTACACACACACACACACTCACTCACTCACATATAGAGAAGGAATTGCAAGGGTTGTCTTTTGATATGGCTCATGCAGAATGAGTAAGGCTTCAGTCTTTTTTTTTAAGATTGTATTTATTTATTTGAGAGAGAGAGAGAAAAAGAGCAAGCATGGGGAGGTGCAGAGAGAGAAGGAGAAGAAGACTCCCTGCCGAGTTGGGAGCCCCACCTGGGGCTTGATCCCAGGACCTGAGTCGAAGGCAGACACTTAATGGACTGAGCCACCTAGGCACCCCAACTTCAGCCTTTTGAATTTGCAGAAGAGTCACATGTGGGGGTCAGCAACAGGGCTTAGTCATCTTTAACCCAGCGACTGGCACATGGTGGGTACTCCAAATTATTTATGAACTGAAAGAATATATCAAATCATTAACTTTCTATCTTTATAGTGAACTAATTGTTTTTTTTAATTTAAGAAAAATGCTAAGTGAAAATAAGTATCTCTTTCATAATTACATATAATTCTCAAGTTCAGCATATCAACTTCAGTGCCTTAAGTGACCCTAAGATATCTGTCCCCCACCCCCACTCCACACAAAGCTGGCTTTGGGGCCTCGATCAGTTATTATTTCTTTCTCTTTCAAACAGTTTCAGTCTCATCCATTCTAATAGTTCTGTTTTCTCAGCCTTGTGACATGGTCAACTTTCTTCAATCCAAAAATGTCAACTAGTGTCATTTCCTTTGTGATGATAAGGCTCTTCTAATTTTTAAAGATGGAATTCTCTAAGAAGTTTGTCAACGATCTCACTTCTTATTCACTTTTCAATAACAATATTGTCTCTATCTGGTTTAACACTCTTCTGAAACTTCACTGCCATGCTCAGCAGTGGCTCTATGCTGTTAAATGCCATGGACATTTTTAGGATGATCCTATGTGAACATTTAGTCACATTCAACACAAGTGACTGTGCCCTTGATTTTGAAACGTGTTCACCTATGTTGTTCCATGACATCCACTCCTCATTTTCCACTTAATTCTCTGTACCCTTGGTTGGGTACTTTTACATAATGTTTCTTCAGGTTTGGTGCTCATCTCTCGACATATTCTCTCTATAGGGGAGGCACCTCCCCTTCATGGCTTAAAATACAACCCATATTCTGTGCCATTCAAGTGTTTATTTCCATACACACCTTTTTTAATTTTTTAATTTTTATTTATTTATTTGACAGAGAGAGACACACAGGCAGGGGTAGTGGGAGAGGGAGAAGCAGGCTTCCCACCGAGCAGAGAGCCCAACACGGGGCTCGATCCCAGGACCCTGGGATCATGACCTAAACCGAAGGCAGATGCTTAATGACTGAGCCACCCAGGCGCCCCATCCTCTTTTTATTTTTAATTCTAGACTCAGATATCCAATTACTTACTAGACATTTCAATTTGGAGGTTTCATAAGGGTTTCTAACTTTTATGTGTATGAAATTGAACTTTTGCTCTTCCTTAGGAAGAATAAAATATTTCTTATCTGAGTAAGCAGCATTTCCACCCATCTAATTGGAATCCTCCTACTATATGAAATCCATCCCGAATGTGGCCCATTCTGTCTTCCAGATTCTCCATAAATCTATCTAGTCCTCTTACTGCCTACCTTCTAGTCTAGGGTTTCACAACCCGATCACCACTGACATTTTGGAATGCATAATTCTTAGTTGTAGGGACTGTCCTATGCATTGGAAGGTATTTGGCGGTGCTCTTGGCCCACTAGATGCCAGTAGCCACCTCTTCCCCAACCCCCCACCGACACACACACACACACCCCACGACAATTAACTATGTCTCCAGAAGTTGCATGGGAGCAAGAGCAGTTTCTGGGAAAGAACACCTGCTCTAGTTCAAGGTGTTTCCTTTCTTGGCAGGCTGTGGAAGAGTGCCAACATGGCCTGTCTCATTTTCAGAAATTGTCCCCTCCATTCTTTTCTCCCTACCCCCTGCCTGATAAATGTTAAAATGAAGGGGTGCCTGGGTGGCTCAGTCAAACATCCGACTCTTGGTTTTGGCTCAGGTCATGATCTCAGGGCCCTGGAATCGAACCCTGCATCGGGTAAATGCTCGGTGTGGAGTCTGCTTCCCTCTCCCTTTGCTCCTCCCCCCACACACTCTCTCTCTCTCATAAATAAATAAAATCCTTAAAAGAAAATCTTAAAATGGAAAGCAGTCACATCACTCTCCTGATGAAACTTTCTCTACTACCTGTGTGATAAGATACAAATCCTAGACAGGATTTGCGAGGCCGCATGGTTATGGCCCTGGCCATGTCTCTAACTTCATTTGCACCCTGGGCCCTTTCCCTCTTTCACAATTAAACTCTTTCTAGCTTTCCCCTACCACAAGGACATGTTATTTCCTCTGTCCTGCGTGTTCTTCCTTCATCTGGACAATTAAGATAATTAAGCCTTTCCTCACTTTATAACCACTGTATCCCAGGATAGATTAGGCTTCCATGTTATGATATCTATCATCCTTGTACTTAATTCCAACATCTTTATACCATATTTATTTTTTAAACTGTCCTGTCAACTAGGGCAGTGCTACTGAAAATGACTAGTCCATGGAGATCATTACTATCTACCATGAGATAGTGTATGCCAACAGGTAAATCAATGCATCGCTTCCTTCATTAAGAACGTTAAGAAGTCTTGCGTGATTAAAAATGTCAGCTTAACTAAATCATAGGTTTAGTAACACCGTTGATTTACCCTGGTCTATGACTCACTCTGAATAGCACATCTTTGACTGTAATCAAGGGCAGGAAATTACTCTTGTTCAACCCTGAATCCTCAGCTCAAGAACAAAGTTGTATGGTGGTTGTTCAATAAATACTTCCTTAATGGATAAATTAGGAAACCAATGGTTTTATCACTACCTAAATATCTCCTACCTTATTTTGTCTTTAGACTTCCAAACTTTTCCTTGCTTCACCCTGGGTATTTCACAAAAACAGCAAACTCAGCAGAAGCTTGACTGTCTTCATAAACAGTCTCCTGGCCCAGACCTGCTTCTACTCCTTTGCACCCACCTTAGTTACAGTAAACCATCTAGGCAACCCTGAAAATGGGATGCCCAGGAGATATCTATGACATCTTTCTTCCTCGCTTCCCCTGTCTGATCTCGGATCAGCATGTCTTCCTATTTTTTTTTTTAATCTCCAAAACATATTAGAATACTTTCCTTTCCTTTCTTGCTGCATCTCAGCTATTCTGCCTTTGCTTTTGCATGTTGTCCCCAGTATGGGCCCAAGCCTCTGGCCTTGCCTCTGTCAACCCACTGTCCTATGCATTTCTCTGAATGCTCTTTCTAAAAGTCTAGGTTGGCCTTTGCAAACTTAAATTAAATTTTCTAAGTATTTTATGCAAGTCATCCTATGATCTGACCCCCAATTATCTTACACCCGATACCTTAATGCCTTAGCTTTATCTTCGAAAGATAGCATATCTCTTCAGCTCCGTTAAAGGATTGAAGGCAGAGGAGTTAGTCAGGCAAAGGGGTCTTGTTTCAAGGAAGCTCAGCATCAGCAAAGAATGTCAGAAGAGAGGAGATAGAGGATGAAGCTGGACACAGACAGGAACCAGATTACAAGGGGCTCTGAAAGCCACAGAGGGGTTTGGATATTCTTCAAAGGTTCCCAAATCTCTGAAAATCAGAAATTCTTTGGAATTGATTTGGAGGTGAAAGACAACATGATATATTCCTTTAGGTGGAATCACATAGCTCAAACTAATGGAAACTATGCATATTAATTTCTTCTTGTTAGTGTGGGTATCTTATTTGTGCCTTAGATATAAATCAATATGTTTGATTATGGGATGTTGTCCCAGATACTACCTGGGGTATTATATAATATACAGCTTATTCATTCTATTATCTTTCTAAACTCTGAAAAACTGTGGATTCCAAATCTCATCTGTCCTCATTGGCTTAGACAAAGGAGTATGAATCTGTAGCAGTGAGAAACCATCCATAGGTTGTACATATGGATCCAACTAAATCAAATTTGCCTCCTACAAAATGACTCTGGCTGTCACGTGAAGAATGGATCAGAGGGTCCCTTAGAAGAAAGAGTGGGCCCCAGGCTTCAGACCATGAGAGTACGATTCAGTAGCTTATATTCTTAACCACAGTGCTTGGCCACCTCCCATGAAAATGACAGAAGCCCAGGAACACGTAGAATGAGAAGGGGCCTATGGAGGCACCCCGAGAAAATCTTACACTTAAGGAATTGGCAAATCATTTTCTGTGATTACAGTGTAGCTACCAAAAACAAAAACAAAAACCTACAACAACAACAAAAGACAACTCCTTAACATTTATGGCCAAGGGGTCTGGTTTGCACCCACAAAAGACCTAGAGGAAATAGCCAGTGAAGTAAAAACATAATCGGGGGGGCAACAAACAAAATCAATTTGAAGATATGTTACAAATAGAGGAAAGTAGTCAAAAAAGTATCGCATGTTGGAGAAAGGTCAAGTTAGGGAGATGCTCCTTCTGGATTTTAAGCATCTCTCCATGGGAGACTGCATACACTTTTTTGTTTGTTTGTTTGTTTTTTAATTTAGAAATGGCCACAATTTCAACAGTGCCTGGTACAGAGTGGATACTGAATAAACACTGGTTAAACTGAACCATCTTGGGGTGCCTGGGTGGCTCAGTAGGTTAAGTGTCTGCCTTCAGCTCAGGTCATGATCTCAGGGTCCTGGGATCGAGCCCCATGTCAGGCTCCCTGCTCAGCAGGGAGTCTGCTTCTCCCTCTCCCTCTACCCGTCCCCCTCATGATCTCTCTCCCTCTCGCTCTCTCTCATTCTCTCTCTCTGAAATAAAGAAATAAATAAAAATAAACTGAACCATCTTGTCCAATTTTTAAAAAATAATTACAGCTGATTTTTATTGAGTTCTTCCTGCGTGCAAAGGAATCTGTGCACATTATTTCATTTAATCCATAAAAAGAGCCCTATGAGGAAAGTGCTATTATTATTATTATCATTTAGAGGCCCAGAGAGATTAAATACAATGCCCAAAGTCATGTGGCTAGTGAGCAGTAGAACCAATATTTGAATCTAGTTTGAATTTGGAACTCATGCCCTTAACCACTGTACTTTTCTGCCTCTTCAAGGGACAAAAGACTACAAATTTGCAGATCACAGGGGCCTCTGGAGTACCAGGCTTGAGCCTCAAATTCAGTTCTAATCTTCTTGGATGTCAAAAAGAAAGGGAAACAGTTAGTCCATAGTACTAATGCCCTCACAGCTTCCAGGTCTTTGCTCAAGTGTTTTTTGGAGATTTTTAGTGTTACAGGGTCACTGGGTTTTTGTCTCATGGAGCCGAAGAATGAATCTCATGGACACAAAAGGGTGTAGTGAAGTGAAAGTTTATTAAGTAAAGGTGAGAATAGAAAGGAAAGAAAAAAGCTCTCTAGAATGAGAGGGGTCCTGAATGGGTCGTCACTGAAGGCTTTCAGTGTCAGTCTTTTATTGAGAACGGACCAGGAAGCTTGTGGCCTTGGAATTGTGCCATCTTGGTTTGAGCAAGGAGTATTGATAACGTTCTTAATGGCTTACTTCTTCTTTGAGGTCTGGTCATATTCTGTGATTACAATGTAGCTGCCAAAAACAAAAACAAAAACAAAAACAAACCTACAACAACAACAAAAGACAACTCCATAACATTTATGGCCAGGTGGTCTGGTTTGCTCCCTTATCTCTGGTTTTGATCGTTTCAGCATTTCTCCACATTTGGGATTTCTGTGAGCCTGGTCATGGAGCACTCTCCCTGTGTGAGCCTAGTCAGGGAAGTCAGGGGCCTCCTATCTCTCCCTGCCTGGACCTTAACCCTTTCCTTACACAGTGTTACATTACTTTTAGGTGT